AATTAGCTAGCTCATCTGCCTGTGATTGTGGATAAAGATGTAAACTCTCAGCTACTGACCCAACACCATGCCCCACCAGACACAACACGTTCCGTCATGATAATCATGAACCAAGCATTTGAAATTGTAACCCCCCCAAAAAAAAAAATACTTTCCTTTATAACTTGCCTTGGTCATGGTGTATCTCATTGCATCAATTAAAAGGTAACTAAGATGCACAGAGAGAATACACCCATAAGATAAAGGAGGGTAAGAGACACTTACTTCTTAAGTATGTTTCTCCACCAAGGGTTTCTTAGACACACAGGGAAGCAAAGTATATATGCCTTACTCAAACCTTCATAATTGTTAACTCTTAAATTATCCCCACAAATTTAAACAAACAATAAAATTTGATTTTGTCATATTTAATGAAGGTAAAATATTTCTTGACTTGCTCATTTTAGAGTAAAATGATTTTTTTCTTGAGTGTAAATGATAAAATACTGTTCTTTTAGTAAAAAGTAAAGTAGAAAGAAGTTGTGATAAATTTAATTAGCTACAATTGTTTTTCATGTATATATTAAATATATACATGTAAATATATTTTTTTCTTTTGAGGATTATAAGGTATTAAACCAAACAACTGAAATAATATGGTTAGCAGTCAAAAAGGAACTTTGATCGCAGATTCTTTTCATATTAAAAAATTCTCAGCACAAATCATATATCTCTAAGCTTGCACAGTCTTGGGGTATGGATTAGTGTCTATAATGTTGTTTTCTTGTGTGTCAAAATCATATACATGTGCAGCTCATTATTTTCCAAATCATTGCAAAGAATAATTCACTGCAAATTAAAATGTTTATATATTCTTGCATTTTGGACAGGATTTCTTTTAAGAGATGTCTATTCTTTTATTATTTGTTTTATTTATTATTATTATTATTATTATAATTAAATATTTTTATTATTTAAAACATTTCTTTAAAATTCAAGTACATTTTGTTCATATTCTTCCCTTCTCCCAAATCTTTCTGGATCCTCTTCTCCTCCTGAACCACTCAACGTTAAAAACACCCAGTAAAACAACAAATCCTAGAAAATAAAATACAACAACACTCAAAAACAAAAAAAGTGTAACCAAATGAAATCACTCTCAAAAGACTGTGGAGTCCATGGTTTGTTGGCCACCTACTCCTGAATGTGAAGGCTGCCCTGGAGTGGTTGATATGCCCAGTGTCATTCCATTGGCGAAAACTGATTTTCTCTCTCCCAGCAGGATAAATGACATTTCAATTTTTAGCTTTTGCCCTGGTGGCTATGTTTTCATGCATTCATTCTTTTTTAAACTATAACAAATAAAAATATAACAAAATAAAATATAGTAAGATTAAATAAAAACGACCACATCAAAGTTGATCAAGACAAATCAAAAGAAAGAAAAGGCACATAAGAGAAGGCACAGAAGTCAGGGACCTGTTCCCACAGCAAGAAATCCCATAAAAACACTGAACTGGAAGCCAAAATGCAAATGCAGAGAATCTGCTGCATTGGAGGATGGTAAATGAAATACGTCAGGCACAGAAGTATAAACATCACATAATCTCATTGAAATGTAGAATATAAAAAGACTGATCTCCGAAGCTGGGGGTAAAATAGTAGTTATCAAACATTTGAAGTTTGTGGATCTAGGAGGAGTGATTAATGTTATATTTAGTAGTAATTTCCAGCACCTTGTCAGCAGGACAGCATGTTTAACAGCAGTGCACTTTGTATTTCAAGTCAGCTGGAAGAGAGGACTTTTTTTTATCACAAAGGGAAATAAATTATTAAAATGCTGGCAACACTGGTACCAATAATTTGCTGATTACACAACGTGTGTGAATGTTGAAAGATTACACTACAGTCCATAAAATGAAACAATTAGTATTTAATAAAAAAAATCTGAAAATCGTTCGCTGAGATAAGTTACGTTTTAATATCCTAAGCTCCTGCTGTGTATAAACGAGACTCTAAGTGACCAGAAAAGGTAAAGTAGATAAGCAATAATGCTTGAACTCAGTGGCATTTATACAGTCAAAGCCTTGGTGGACAACAGTAACTGAAAATCCTTTCAAAATTAAGGCATATTTTGAAAACAATAAAATTATAACATAGAGTGCACTAGAATAAATGTATTTCAAGGATCCACATTAAATAATTCCTTCAGCTATAAAATAATGGCCTAATTGCTGGTTTCTTCAGGTGGCCAAGAATCTGCTCCTTGTTCTGGAAGAACTGGGAGAAAAGCCTGGTTCCACTTAGTCATGAAACATGCTTTGAGACACAGGCTTTACAACTAGATAGAACTCTACCTGTGGTCCAAGAGTATGTATGCATACACAAGTTTCAAATGGAGGTGGTGAACCTTGGTATTGTCTCATCTTCTCAGAATAGGACTCAGAGTGTCAGTTACTCTGCTGTTCTCTGCTATTGTATCTTTGAAGGCATTTGAACGCTCTTAAATGGATAAAAATAGTTTGATTTGGTAAAGCATAAGTGCAGAATATAATGCAAGCTATTTCATAGTTAAACTGTAATTTGAAATACGTAGAGAAATGCAACAATTGTAAGAGGCATGTACTAGAAAGTCACTCAATACTGAATGGTACTAGATACAAAACAGATATGTAAAATTAACTCCCATTTGCTGTTATTTCTTTCTTCATTCATAATGAGGCCATCCAGATTACACTGGGTAAAAAAAAAATATCCCCAAGAAAGGTAACATTTTTCACTCTTCCTTGTTTAGTTACTAGTAGATACAGGATTAAATCTCATTTAAAATGAGATTTAGATGAACACATGCATGCACAAGCACACACACACACACACACACACACACACACACACACACACATTCACACATTCACACATCTGAGAGAATGCAGAAACACTTGATTCACCTAATGAAGTCTTACAGACCATCAGGATGACTCTAGCACAGGTTCAAAATGGTCTGAGAGTAGAGTCACAAGATGTGGCCCATGAGTTTTCCTGGTGGGTTGGCAGTGGGGCTAAAGTCACACTTCCTATACTTGTCAGGGATATTCTTATTTAGATTCTCCACCAGAAATAAATGAGAGAAGATAGAGTTGGATTTTCCTACTGGTTTGCTCAGGTGAAGACAGAAGGATGAGGTTCAATACTGCTAGCAGTCAAACTTTGAAAAAAAAAAATGGAGGTCAGCTACTGCCAGGAAGAATGATATTGCAGAAGAGGTACCATCAAGAATGGACAACAGTTTCAAGGAGAGTCCGAGAAAGTTAAGTAGTGTTACACCTGGTAAAGAAAGGAAGGTAGATGTGTTTGAGACAAAGAACAAGGATTATAGAGAGGTTAGCAACAGGTTCAGCTTAGCAGAGACACATACCACATCCACTGAAGAATTGCGTGCTGAAACTAGGCCTGTACATTGACATGACACTGTAGCACTTGCAGATTTCAACATAATGAAATGTGTTTTGTTCTGGGTTGTTTTTCAGCAGTAGGAACCTGCCTATCACTAATGGTGGAAGAGACCTAGGAACATACAGTGATCTGCTACATGTGGGAGTAGGGCTTCTGTAGTCTTTCCTTTTAATACACAGCGATGTCGATAGCAAAGACAGTGCGGACTTGAGGCTGAAAACTCCTCACAGACATAACAGACTCAAGGAACCTGTTCAAGAGCACATGCTGATAAACATTTCCAATAGGTGTGAAGAAACAAAACAGAATCGTTTCTTTAACACCTGGCTTAGTGTTGGTGCTGTTTTTAATAATGATAACATGCGCTCATAGTCTTGCAGCACAGATGGCGTTATATCTATATATGAAGTCTGTATCTGAAATGTTTTTCATAACTAACTAGAACCAGACTTTTATTTTAATGTGGAATGGAGAAAAGAAGGCTATTGGTCCATGAGGAAACAAGCCATCAAATCCAAGAGACAGTCAAGGAAAATAATCTGGACCCAAAAAGTGGCTTTTGATCTAAATGTTGTAGAACGGGGAAAGAACAGGTGGAAGTGGCCTAATAGAATTTGTCATTCCCTTAAAACTTTAGATCAGAGACTATGGCCAATAATGTGCTGTGTGAGAAATATGGAAAAATAAAGGTAGAATTATTGTGTACTTGGAAGGTATTATAGTTTGCATCTGAAATATTTCCTCAAATCACATGTTCTGATAGCTCATTCCTTAGTGTAGTGGACTGAAAGGGAGCCCTCCTGAGGGGACTGGATGATAAGGACTGTGAAATCATCAGTGGAAAGATTCATTCACGAATTCACAGCTTAATGGATGATAGGTTGGAGTTTTCAGACAAAAGACAAGTATCTTTTTTGCTTTCTAGTCACCACAAGGAGAGCAACTTTCCTTGGCTGTGTGCTTTCACCATGTTGTTCTATCATGGTACAAACTTAAGAGCAAGTGTGAGCTGTGATCCCTGAGACCATGTACACAAATTAACCATTTGCCCTTCAGGTCAGTTTCTCTTAGGCATTTTGTCATGGTGATTGGTGACATTCTGCTGACTAGTTCAGGTAGGAAGTAAACTGAGTATCGAATGAAAGATACTGGTAAATATGGTGGAGAACACTATTGTGTCACATCTCATTTGATACAAGCAGCAATGGTAAACTATTGGTGAAATTATTAAGGCCACTCCATGTAGTTAAAAGGAAGATTTATTTAGTGGGTAAATTACAAATGAAGGGATAGGTAGGTGGCGGGTTCTGGAAAAGAAGCAGCGCAGTCTGGTAGCGTCCAGGTCCAGGAAAAAAAAAGAGAGAGCGCAGCGCATCCCGATCTCAGG